CTATGGCGGGACCCTGCGGCTGCACTGCGGAGCCTCGGGGGACCCCTGGCCGCGCATCCTGTGGCGCCTGCCGTCCAAGCGGATGATCGACGCACTCTTCAGGTAAGGGAGCCTCTCTCGGGCTGGGGGAGGGGGCTCGCAGGGCCTGGTCCTCGTCCACTGGAACGCGCACAGGTGCGGGGCCGCCCGAGAACTTTTGCATACGTGCGAACTCTGCCATTGATCTGCCCGGCACAGTGGTGCGCAGTGGTGCGAGCCCGTCATCCTAGTAAGCTGGGAGGCTGAGGCAGGAGGATCACAGGTTCCAGCCCAACCCGGGCGAGGCAGCGAGACCTTCTCTCGAATTTTTTAAAAAATAATTAAATAAGCAAATAAATACAAAGTTCAGTCAGTCAACCTAGGAAGATTTTTACAAGGGCTGAGCATGTAGCTTTTGGGGAAGGTCCTGGGTTCAGTCTTTGATGAAAAACAACAGTAAAGAGATCTAGGACATAAAATTGGCATTTTTCAGCCGGGCGTGGTGGCGCACACCTGTCATCCTACCACTCGGGAGGCTGAGGCAGGAGGATCGCTGTGAGTTCATGGCCAGCGTGAGCTACACACACAGTGAGTCCAGGGGGCCAGGCTAGACTACAAAGTTCGACTGTGCCCCAAAAGACTAAAAAAAAAAACCTATTGGCATTTTCCCTTCTCTAGCACATACACACACACACACACACACACACACACACACACACACTGAACTGAGAACCCTGTTTAAATGGCTGCGTTTGGGGGGAGAATGTAGCTCAGTGGTAGAACATTTGGCTGCACAGTCCCAGCTCTAGTCCCACAGAAAAGGAAAAAAGAAAGGGACAAAAAAAGAAAGGTGGAAGAAGAAAAAGACACAAAAGAAAGGGACCTAAGAGGGTGGGGAGAAAGAAAAGAGAGAGAGAGAGAGAGAGAGAGAGAGAGAGAGAGAGAGAGGGAGGGAGGGAGAGAGAGGGAGAAAAGGATGACAGATAAATGGGTACATTTAACTTCAGTTCATACTGGATGAAGTGATGAAGCACTGTCAGTGACCATTCCGTCAACAGCAAAATACACAGCAGTTTCAGGTCTTCCTCTGCACTGACCTCTGCCGTAATGAAACCATGTGAAGAAAATAGGAGGCAGAGGGTGCGGGCAGGACGGCGCCCTTGGCATCAGCAGCGCGCCGA